GTTTTAGTTTACAGATTATTTTAGATAAGTTAATGCTGCTAGAAGATGCTATGGCATTCCTGCAATTAGATATAATACACCCTAGTATTATAAGCCCATGAAACTTAGTAATTTGCAGAATAACTTTTCACTATATCCAGTCGAGGAAATCAGTATTGAAAATATTCATAACATAGAAAAGTCTATTAGCGTTAAAGCCTACATACGAGTATATAGTTCAGAACATTCTTTAACATTTATATTAGATTTATGGATGGGATATCCATCCAAACTACATTATACGATTATGTATTAAGCGACAGTAGCCTAATGGCGGGGCGCGGACCGCGAACTTAAAAAGGTCGTGGGTTCGAATCCGCCATTCGGCTACTGGCGTGAACCACTCGTAACACAAACAATTTAAGCTTACCACGAGTGGTTAAGGGGAATATTAGTAATGTTTATAGCATTGTTAATATTCTTTTTTTTATAAAAAAGAAAATGTCCATATATATTTCTTGTCAAAAAACCTAAACCTAACCATTATACCCAAATCCAAATTACTCGCACTTGGAAGCGATGAGTAGACCTACCTGGAAGATTGCAAGAAGCTGACACCTGGCCACAAAGAAATATGAAGATTGCATCAAAAATAAATAATAGTACGTAGTACCTACACGCATTGCGTAATTTTTTTATATAGAATTAGTGTGACAAACGAGCACACAGTCCACCTGATGGTAAGCGTGGATGCTGTGGTCCACAGACATCTACTCGATTACGAATCAAAATGCAGATGCGATGTCACCCGTGAGAACTAAGATGGAATGCCTCGTTTCCAGTAAAAAAGGGCTTCCGGTTCTCAACACTCACTATACGAAACACAGCAGCATCAAGCTACTATTTTACGCTGGTATTCTGTGAGAGCGTGGTCCTTCCCCGGTCGAGACGGCCCATTCGTGCCACCATAATATAGCTGCAGCGTGGCTCTACCAAGTATATTCTGGGTTAATTGTTGGGAATATTATGTAAGAAGTTATATATCGATATATTAGTTTTTGATCTTCATCAGCATCATCAGCACGTCAAAACTTCACTGTTGAACATGACATCCTCCGTGGTAGGGTGAATTTCTTTAAATCGTCATGGTGACGATTGCAGGAACAGAAGTCTTTCACCTTTGACGCCGCTGCCCTATGCCTTTATTTATAAAGGCGTAAAAGAGATTTGTACCGCCATCTGTCGGAAATCATAAGATCTTTGGCATTTCCTACAGTCGCCTACATATAGACCACACCCCCGAGACGATATCCGATGATGTAAATCCTCTTACGCCGCTATTCGAATAAATTAATTTTAGTTCAATATAGAATATTTAAAAGAAAGTTATTAAAAGTCAGTTTTTACTTGTCCTGAGATAGAACCTACCCTGGGGAGATCCAGCAAGAAACCCAAGACATATAATCCAAAATTATAAAAGAAACTATAACAGAAACAAAAACTTTTTAGTCAATGTAGATTATAATTAATACTTATTGAAAGTTCCTCTTTTTTTAATTTACCAGTGGTTCGGAAAAAACCTCTGTCCTGGGGAGATCCAGCAAGAAACGCAGCGGTACTTTTTAATAAAAAAATTACGGCCTACAATCATATTATATTTGTTACAGCTACTACCTACATAACAGTTTATTTATTATAAATTATTTAAATTTTGTTGTTTATTTATCGTATCGCATCATATCGCTTATTTGTCGTATCGATATCCACTCTTTTCTATCCCGACTTCATTTAAAAAATTACAAAATTTAAGCCTTAAGATTAAATTTGGCACAATTAATATCTACTGCACATTTCTTCATAACGTGTCTTTTAAGACAACTATTATAATTATTAGTTGTCATCAGATTCATACTACTAAAATCAAAAGCCATAGGTTAGGTCCACTGCTGAAGTGCTGTTTGGCAAACACAACTTGAAAAAGTTCCCATAATCACCTCTCTAAACGCTGCTTTGCTTTGTATGGAGAGTGCAAAGAACCGGAGACCCTTTTTAATGAAAACTAGGCATTCCACCGCAGTCCTCAGGGGTGACAACGCATCTGCATTTTGATTCTTAATCAAAGATAAATGTAGATGTCTGTGGGCCTCAGCATTCACTTACCATCAGGTGGCACTGGACGGGCACGCGCCCGTTTGTCACCCTCATTCTACAAAAATAAAAAATAAAATCTGTTATCGATTCTTCGAGCGGTTTGGTGAGCGGAGAGTTGTAATGCGGCTCTTTTTACCAGTAAAGTAATGTGTGTAATTTCTGACGTTTCGGTTGCTCTATCTGCACCTATCAGCCATTTTCACGGTGGAACTGAGATGTTTAAAATATTTAATGTCAATATTAACCCAGAATTTGAAAAAAAAAGTAAATTAAGAGCACTGAGCATACATACGGTAAGTTCACCATTCGACTATTGTCACAAGCATAACATTTTAACACAAGCATTTTAAGCTTACTTGAAGTGGTTAACGGGAATATGAGTAATGCCAATAGAATTTAAACACATAGACAATAAAAAACGCCCCCACACTCGTTTGCAGGAAGAATCATGTCCTCGAAATATTTTTCTTTATTCTTGGATATACAGCTTCAATTAGCACTTGAAATTGGAATCAATAATTTCATTGATGCCAGTGGGGGTCGAACTTAATTAACTTGAACTTAATAAATTATCAAGTAGAGAACCGGAGACCATTTTTACTGGAAATGGGGCATTCCATCCTAGTCCTCAGGGGTGACAACACATCTGCATTTTGGTACTGAACCGAGGATATAGATGTCTATGGGCCACAGTATCCATTTACCTCAGGTGGACTGTGTGTTCGTTTGTCACCCTAAGGGAGTCCCCACATTTATCGACGCGGAATCGGCTTAATCCAGGTGCGTATCACCACTCTACTCGAATTAACGCCGATCAGCTGTTGCGACGGCTGTTAACGAGTAATCGGCAGTCGAGTCCTTCGGACGGTCATTGCGACGGCTATTCACATTTGTTCGGCCGTCGACTCCTCCAGAAAGCCGTCGAGATTTGCTGGCAGTCATGTGACCTTCAGAATATCCGCAAACACTTTCATCGCGTCATTGTTAGTTATTAAAATCAAGTTGTTAGTTATCAAACTTGAGTTTAATAACTAACAATAACGCGATAAAAGCGTAGTATTAATTATAGTTGCGTCGATTAATTATCGTAGCGAAAACCGCGTCAACCATGGGCCGATTTACTATGGTCACAAACATCAGTATTCGGCTGTCTACGATGCCGTTCTACTGCCATAGGAGAGGAAAGCATCCGAGCAGATCATTCGACTGTTGTCCAACGCTGTTCGGTTGCTGTCGGAGATAAAATCAAGCGAGCGGATCTCCGGCGCCGTTAAAAACTTCGGCGGCGTTCGTTAAACACGTCGACGTGGGCGTTCTGCTACTTTCAACGCCGTACACATGCAATCAACTAATCGGCAAACCGCTCGTTTTGTGATCAGTCCTAAATAATAACGTGTGGATGTGTCTTCCGAGCCGAATCAATGAGAATGGCATTATCAACACCCGTATTTCGTAGACATAAAGGTTTTTCTGACCGGCTGAAGTCGATTCCGTGTCGATAAATGTGGATCCCTTATACTATAAAAAACACTGCAGCGTGAATGGGTTGCATTTTGGTTTTGAACTGTTTCCCTGTCCACGAAACGGTCACAATAGTTAAACAATCTAAATATTCATGTTTGATTCATGGGATAGGGAAAGGGTTAATATAATGAAAGGGCACTTAGCCCATGGATCACAGCATCCACCACCTCCTAACAGAAAGCTTCTAATTATCATTACGTGTTCGTTTATCTTCTTTATTTCTAAAAAATGTATTATGTGTATATGTAATGTTGTATCACTTATTAAAGTGCATCTATGTTAAAAAATGTGGTATGTAGTAAACATTTTAGCTTCTTGGGTCGGGCTGGACGGGGACCATCATTTTTATTAGGGAATCTTATCTAGTGGAAAATAATTATTAAAACATTACAAACATATAATTATGAATTATCAAAACATTATTTAAACACATTTATAACAAGTTACTAAGTTTTAATTTTGTACAAATAACACTGATGAGGTGAAGCAACGTTAAACTTAATCATAGGAACTTAAAAGGTAAAGTTCAACTAAGTACAATTTTTATCTACATCTACTTCGTAAGTAAACAATACTAAGTAAGAAACGACTAGCAGAACTACAAAAGTATTTCAAACTTTATAAAACATAACATTAAATATTTCAAAAATACAATGGATAATAAACGTTATGATTTCACATTAAAACACGTTAAAAATACTGGCGATGTGAAGTACACACATTATGATAGGGTTCCGCTGTGATCTTAAATATTTAATAATAGCTGTCTTTCAAATTATTTCTAGATATCACTTGAGTTAAAAATAATCCATACAGCTTTTTGCATAAAAACCAAAGTATGATATTTTTGTTACCAAAATAATATACTGTTAAACTTTTATTTGATTTTGTCACAATGAAGTTACTCGTAATAAAACTTTTGTGAGCAGGCAGATAGAATTTTAATAGTTTTATATGAACACAATGGAAAAACATATCTCTAACATCTGAGGTTTTTTACAAACCATTCATTTATTCGTTGTTTCATTATAAAAAACAGTCTTTGGAAAATAACATTGTCACCTATTTCATTTTATAAACATACTGGGACTGGCGTCATATATGAATACATTTAGGACCGATCCTCATTTGTCGTTCACTGTTCGTTCTCGGTCCGATCTCGGTCTGATTTATTATAATGGAATGGAATTCGACCGAAACTTGACTGTTACTGGATAGTATGAATGCACACATATTTTTTTTACTTGATAATATTTTATCAGACCGAGATCGGACCGAGAACGAACTGTGAACGGCGTTATAATGAGGATCGGCCCTTAGTTGTTCGCCATTATAGAAAAGTTGCTTTAATCGTTTTTATCTCTAGGAAACGAATCAGGCATTCGAAATTCTGAAATGGGTGAAATGTATAATGGGTTGAGCTCTTGCATATTTTTTCTACTCTCCTGTGCTTCTTGGACAAACTTTGCGTACGCCCGTCTATCAGACACAATTTGCGCACTTTTGACTCCCAAAATCACCACAACACCAGCTGCTACAACACATGCAATTATAACTAGACCACTCATCGTTAATCTTGCACTAGTAGTTTGATAACACTCTTTGGATCTGATGACGATTTCCATAGCAATCATAGCTTGAGCACCAGCGTAATACGTATATTTGTACTCGCATTCAAGACCATCTTCGTAGCGTCGTAGAATACACGAAGTCTCAAATTCGTCAGCACTTGCTAAAATAAGAAAATATACCGTTAGCCCGAGGCCACGATATCTTTCGCGTGCGAAGCTACAGCGTATTATAACTACAGCATGAATAGCTCGTGTCGACCGGGGACCACGCCCGCTCAGAACACCAACCTGAACAATACAACACTACTGTGCTTTGTATGGAGTGACGAAAATAAGAGATCCTTTTTACTGGTAACGAGATATTGCATCTTATAACGACAAAGCTACATTCTTGAGGATAATTTTGACATTTAATCGATAATAGATGTGTCTGTGGGCGAAAGCATTTTTTTATCATTAGGTGGAGTACGGGCCCGTTTATCAATCTTCTATATACAAAGTCGCTTCTCACGACACCCTCGGATCGAGATTAAGTAAGAGTTCAGCTCAGTTATACTGCTATCTCACGTTACAAATTTAGTTACCATGCTAATAAGACTGAGTTCGAATTTTTATAGGATAGGGTGACAAACGAGCACACAGTCCACCTGATGGTAAGTGGTTGCTGTGGCCCATAGACATTTACATCTATCCTTCATTACGAATCAAAATGCAGATGAGTTATCACCCGTAAGGACTAAGATGGAATGCCTCGTTTCCATTAAAAAGGGTTTCCGGTTCTCTAAACTCACCATATGAGACACAACAGTGTATTCTGTGAGAGCATGGTCCTTCCCCGGTCGAGCCGGCCCATTCGTGCTATAACTATACAACTAATATAATTGCAGCATGGCTCTACCACGTAAAATTTAAATTATTTATTATATCTTTGATTTTTAGAATTAACTAACAATCAAAGATATAATAAATAAATGAATGATTGCGGAACTAAGTATTGCTTGGCCAATAATTGATCTGACGTTGTGGCTTAGTGATCAGAGACACAGATATCACAACTACTCGCTGTTAGTCCTGAGGTCTTATCTCAAATCGAATCACCTCAATCTCAAATTAATATTTTTGTTCTTTAAAAAAAACTGAAATAAGAACTAATTAAGTGATCCTGGTATGGTGGTGATGGTAAGTGGATCAAGGACACTTGCAGCTATCTTCGAACAAAGAAGCCTACCGCTGCGCTGTCACCTATGAGGACTAAGATGGAATTCCATACAGCCTTTAATTATATACAGCCGTGAAAGCGCTGCTATTTAACTACAGAAATAGTTAGTGGTGTAGGTAGTGAAAATTTCTAACACACGATATTTTTTTACGTGGTAGAGCCAAGCTGCAGCTACATTATAGTTGTAGCACGAATGAGTCGGCTCGACTGCAGCAGGACCACTCTCTCAAAGAATACCAGAGCAAAATAGCAGCATGATGATGCTGTGTTTCGTATAGAGAACCGCAGAACCTTTTTACTGGAATCGAAGCATTCCTTATTAGTCCTCGGGGGTGACAACGCATTTGCATTTTGATTCTAATAAATATGGATGGATAAATGTCTATGGGCCACAGCTTCAACTTACCATCAGGTGGACTGTGTGCTCGTTTGTCAACCAATATTTTAATTTTTTTTGTCTTCGTATAGGTAAGTTGTGATTGTACCTGTGCTCTAAACTTCCGCAAACTTTTTATTTTTTTTATGTTCTTTTAAAAATGACTAATCAAATTAGCATTTTATCTGACATGGGTAGGCTAAACAGAGTGAAGACCTTTGTGTAAGCGTGTAGACTTATTACACTATACTCTCTCCTACTTCCGATAGTATTCGGTTGCCCTTACGATTTTAACTTTTACCTAAAGGAAGAAATCAATTATTGATGCAAATATCGTCACAAGCATATTTTATCACTTTCGCTTTGCTTTAGAACGAAAATATAACTTAGCGGTAAGTGAATTGTCATGCGTAGGACAGATTTTACATCAGACAAACAAGACTTTCTTTATTTCTTATAGGAAATACATCACACACGTTTAAGCGTGTCAACTTTCTATTCGTTTATTTTGTGGGAGTCGATGACCGAAAATGTATTTAATATCAAGAAAATATATTAACAAATCTTTCACTTCAATTGTATTCTTGAAATTAACTGGCAAAAATTTCATTTGTTTAGGAATTAAAGCTTATTATATGTTAAATGCAATCGAAAAATGCTATTATAGTCATCATACATGGGGTATGATGACTATAATAGCATCTTCCGATGTTCTATTTTATCAAAGAAGAGCTTTACCGTGTTTCGAAATAAAGTTTATGTCACCCGAGCGAATAAAATGTTTATACCATCATCATCATCATCATGATGTCCCCCTTTTCAAGTCCACTGTTGAACATTAGGCCTACCCCAAGAACTACCACAAAGCACGATCCTCAGCCAATATGTCTATATATTTATATACATAAATATAAATAAATATTTTAACCACCCCGACATACACACGCACACACATTCATTAAAGACAGTTGTTCTCATTTACCTGGTTCATTCATTCGTTCGCTGACTGTATAATTAATATTTCCAATGGTGCACAGGTCAGTACAGCTGCTATTCAAATGACACAGGACACAAGGCTCCGCGTTAACGCATAGCGGGTTCACACAGGTCGCGCACGTCTCACAAAACGCGCCGATATACTTGCTGCCATCTTCTTCTGTCACTGAGCACTGACACTGGCCTGGAGTAAAAAAGGATCATTATTTTACTTATTCCTATGCTTAGCGTGTTGTCAACAAATCTATTGGATTTGCAATTTTTGTGTTTGCCTCTTATATTATACACTGATATTATTATGTTCGCTATCATTTTTTGACTGCCTCGTTGGTCTAGTGGTTATAGTAGTGCGACTACTGATCATGTGGTTCTGGGTTCGAATCCCGAGTCGGGCCAAAAAATTAAATATTTAGTTTTTCCGTCAACAAATTCTCAGTAGTTGCCCGGAGTCAGAAAGTTGGCGGTGTCTCACCCCCGCGCCTCGGAAAGCACGTAAAGCCGTTGATCCTGCGCCTGATCTCTCTCCGGTCGTGTCGGTTCACCGTCCCATCGGAATGTATGAGAGTGAGGGAATAGAGAGTGCACCTGTGCTTGCGCATACACTTCGGCACTATAATCCTGTCCTGCGCCGATGGCTAGTCTCCCCTGAGGCTGGCCGCCGTGACCGAAAATTCGGTCTGGAGGACATTACTATTATTATCATCAGTGTGAGTCAGAGAGTTATATAGTCTAAAGACATGAACCTGCCGAGTTTCATTTCAACATAAGAATCTGCCTGGGTAGACACTACTAATGGTAATGAATGCGTAAATAATGTCGTAAAATTCTAATCGCTAATGTTAATGCTATTTTCTAATGTTAATTTATTAAAGAACCGCAATAATTTTGTTAATATACGATTAAAATGCCTGTTTAATACTCACTACTTCGACTGAGTAAATATCTAAATTATTTACAGTTTATAAAATAACACCACGATTGAATAGAGGTAACACAGTGAATAAAATAACCGTAAAGTGGTAGTATAAGAATATCCACTACCTCATATCCTCCCGTGGGAATCGTAAGAGGCGACAGAGGGAAACTGAACCGGGAGGTGGGCAGCAGCATCTTCCTTATAAAAACTCAAAGTAATGAAACACTGCGGTTGCCAACCCATCTGCCAAGCGTGGCATCTATGGCAAATCCCCACTATGAGGCAATATAGGAGCGGTCTGTATTCAAAATCGGGCTTCGACAGACTGTAATGATGATGATGGTATGATTATCATTTTTTCGCCAACTACTGTAATTACAGACTAAAGGCTAGAAAAAAAACATACTATAATTGATATAAAAAACCTACCTACCAAACCTACCCACAGCAGGCACAGTCCCTGTGTCCGGAGCATAACAGGTCGGAGCCGGGCGGCAGGCAATCTATTACACTTCCACAGGCAAAAGCCTCGGAGATACATAATAAAGTACATAAAACAATTGGCAACCCTACTCACCACAAACACAGGTCCCCGTGTCAGGAGTATACGATATCGACGCCAAGCGCCAGGCAATCTACTACACATCCAGAGGTAAAAGCCTCGGCAATACATAATAAACGATATAAAACAGTTGGCAACCCTACTCACCACACACACACAGTTCCCATGTTCGGAGCAGGCGAGGTCGGAGCCGAGCGACAGGCAATCTAATATAATTCCATAGGTAAAAGTCTCGGCAATATATTATAAACAATATAAAACAGTTGGCAACCCTACTCACACACACACACAGTCCCCGTGTCCGGAGCAGACGAGGTCGGAGCCGAGCGACAGGCAATCTAATATAATTCCACAGGTAAAAGTCTCTGAAATATATTATAAACGATATAAAACAGTTGGCAACCCTACTCACCACATACACAGTCCCCGTGTCCGGAGCAGACGAGGTCGGAGCCGAGCGACAGGCAATCTAATATAATTCCATAGGTAAAAGTCTCTGCAATATATTATAAACGACATAAAACAGTTGGCAACCCTACTCACCACACACACAGTCACCGTGTCCGGAGCAGACGAGGTCGGAGACGAGCGACAGGCAATCTAATATAATTCCACAGGTAAAAGTCTCTGCAATATATTATAAACGATATAAAACAGTTGGCAACCCTACTCACCACACACACAGTCCCCGTGTCCGGAGCAGACGAAGTCGGAGCCGAGCGACAGGCAATCTAATATAATTCCACAGGTAAAAGTCTCCGCAATATATTATAAATGATATAAAACAGTTGGCAACCCTACTCACCACACACACAGTCCCCGTGTCCGGAGCAGACGAGGTCGGAGCCGGGCGGCAGGCAATCTAGTATAATTCCATAGATGAAAGTCTCGGCTATATATTATAAACGATATAAAACAGTTGGCAACCCTACTCACCACACACACAGTCCCCGTGTCCGGAGCAGACGAGATCGGAGCCGGGCGGCAGGCAGGCGTCGTCGGTGTCCGGGCAGTCGCACGCTTCACCGCGCCAGCCCTTCGCGCACGCACACGTCCCGCACACGCACACTCCGCGTCCCACGCCACCGCACTCCATCTCGTTCTCGCTGCAAAACATACGCACGCTCAGTTACTAAATGGCAAATACCATCTTCTTACTTATTTCTGGCGCTAAAATACTGCTGTGTTATATTCTTCCACTACAGTGTTTCGGTTTAAAGAGCAAAGGGAGCCAGTAATAATAATGTTCACCAGACCAAATTCCGGTCATGGTGGCCAGTCTCATTACTGCAACTAGGCGCGGTGCACTCTCTATTCCCTCACTCGAATCTTATGATACGATAATCCAACACAATCGTAGAGAGATCAGGTGCAGAATCAATGGCTTTACGTGCTTTCCACGACACGGAGATGAATCACGGCCAACTTCCTTACTATAGGCTGCTACTAAGAATTTCTAGACAGAAAAGCCCAATAACTGATTTTGAACCCAGGACCACATGATCGATAATCCAATTTACCACCACTAGACCAACGAAGTAGTAAAAGAGTGCCAGTATAATTGAAGGCTGTGGGGCATTCCTTCTTAGACCTCAGAAGTGACAGCACATCTGTAACGCAGGTGTTCATGGATTGCAGGAGCCACAAACCATCTAATAGACTGTCAATTCGTTTATGTCCTTACACGTCACTTTTATATAAAAAAGAAACACCTGTAATAAATAATAATTAGTAGATATATAGAGTGTTCCTTCATTACGTCATGTGGGTGTCGTAAGCTCGTAAGCGGCAACTATGAGAAATGCTAGGAAAAATAGCTTGCGGTAGATGGCACTTTAATTATCTCGTTTACTTACTATAGACTCAATATAACCAGACCGGCGACGGGACGCCAGACGTAAAACAGTCAAACCGTGTGAACAAGTGTCAATAGTGTTGTAACATGTCGCGTACTATGATAGTCAAATCTGCCTGCCTTGATCTAATTAAATTAAAAATAAATAAACCAAACCACAGATATTCATAAAAGTAGAAAATTAAAAAAAGAGATTAAATGTGCTAAAAATTAAACAATTGAGTCAGTGTTTTATGTATTCTGAATACTCTAGAAACTGATAAACTTTAATGTAAATCAAACTTCTCAATTAAATGACATTGCGTAACAAAAAACTTTTTCTCATTGTCAAGTAGCGACATCTGGTGAACGAAATAATATTAGCCCTCATTAAGGTGAATCCCTGACCATAATGTTGCGAAAGTGCGTTTTTCAGACTCTATTATCTCATTAGTTATGTAAAATAAACTACATCTAAAAGTACATTATTAATGTTCGATATCTTATCATCGCATTCCACGTTCTAATTTATTTTTATGTGCTATAAATACATTTAAAATCAACTTTTAAAAAATTACTAAAATTCTTGATTACATGCATCTGTTGCTAAACGCAACGCTCTAATCATTTGAGGATAACACTAATGGATAGATAATTAAAAAATCTATATTCTCCACGTTTTATTTAAATTTTTAAGTTCGTTTTGTCTCTTTTAATTGAAATAATTCCGAAAATTGTGTGACTTCTATGATAAAGGGGCGTGCGCAGAGTGCGGGCGGCATTACGCTGTATGCGTTCATACGAGGTGGCCGCGTCGCTGGTCGCCGCATCCGTGTTTCGCCGCAAACATAATATTATTTGAGTACCTACCAACCGATGCGCATCTTACAGCCGTGCGGTACGTAAACACGCGATAGGGATGCCTGCCTCCAGCATTTTTACATTTGCCCATTGATTTATGTGTTTTATAACTCAATGCATTTTCCTACTTTGTGTTTCCATTTAGTTTTATGATTGTACTTAAATATACTTTTTTTATATAAACAAATATATAATAGGTACTTTGAGAATTTAATAGGAAGTGTTCAATAAAAATGCGTGTCGTTTTATGATTGGTAGATTTAATTAAAAAACCATGTTTATGTTTGAATAACAAATCGGTCTTATAAATTTGCGCCCGAAAAATATTTCGCCTCGGCTGAGACGTACGAAATGCTTTATCATTAAAATTTTAAATATAAAAAATCCGCATTATAATATAAAGCTTAATTAAAAATTGTTTTGGGAAACATGGACAAGTTGGAGTAAAGGAATATCTTTTACTTGGTTATAGATACCTGCAGCTACTTTACAATTTACATGTTTGGTTTTAAATGAAGTTTGGATTTATTATTTTGTTTTATTTCTATTCTATTTTCTGAAAGGGTCCTAGGAAAGGAATTATCACTGCGTGTTGGCGAACTTTGCATGTCTCCGAAATATTTTTTTTTCTTATTTCTCAGACATGCAGGTTTCCTCACAATGTTTTCCTTCACCACTGAGCACGTGGTAAATCAACACTTAAAATTGCAATTACAATATTATTGGTGCCGGCGGGGATCGAACCCGGTTTGCTCGCACACTGTGAAAATTTTAGCAAGCGCTAACCATCTGAGCTACCACTCCGGACTTTATTTTATTTATCGTCAGGCCTGTTGGTCCAGTGGTTAGTGACCCTAACTGCTATGCTGCAGGTCGTGGGTTCGATTTCCACCCAGGACAAATGTTTGTGTGATGAGCACGATCATTTGTTCTGTGTCTGGGTTTAATTTATCTATAATATTTACGTATTTAGAAATATATAAGTATGTTTATCAGTTGTCTAGTACCCATAACACAAGATCTGCTTAGCTTGGGACTAGATGGCGTTGTGTGATAGTTGTGGAATATTATTTTTGGGGTATCTGTATAGTTTTCTCATCTGGTTGGTTTCTATAAATATATAATTATAAATTAAAATGAAAAGATAAATATACATAAATATCAATAAAATAAAATAAATACAAAAAAATACACAAATAAATAAAGATCCAACCAGATGGAAGCCCTCGGCAGGGGAGACCAAACGGCTGAGGGTTAGAGGGAAAGGGAAAGAAACCGACGGACGATGCGGGCGGTATCGAAGACCACTGCCTTCTGCATTTGAGCCCGGAGCGGTCCGTCACGGAGTCCCAGTCGCCTCAGATGACCCGAGAGGCTGACTGGGATTAGCCCGTTTGCAGAGACGACTACAGGAATAATTTCGGTCGGCAGACCACCCCACATGTCGGTCACCTCGTGAGCCAGGTCCAGATATTTTGTTTGCTTATCTGTTTCGGCTTTCACGAGGTTCTCGTCATACGGAATGGTAATGTCGACCAAAAATATCCTTGACTGTGCCCGGTCCATCAGCACAATATCAGGCTTATTTGCAAGAATAGTCCTGTCTGTGATGATGGCCCGGTCCCAGTAGAGCCTGGCGCGGTCATTTTCGAGCACGGCTTCCGGCAAGTACTCGTAATACGGCAATTTCCGGTCCACGAGACCGTATTTCAGAGCGAGCTCCTGGTGTAGAATTCTGGCTACTAGGTTGTGCCTGTGCAAGTACTCAGAGTTAGAAAGCGCCGAACAACCGGAGATGACATGTCTAAGTGACTCCCCGGGATGGCGACAAGCTCGACAGACGTCGACGGTGCCATCCTTTAGGATGTATCTCCGATAGTTGTTGGTCTTAATAACCTGATCCTGTATTGCACAGACAAAACCCTCGGTTTCCCCCGAAGAGGTCACCGAAACGTAGCCAGTTGAGGGAGGCGGCTGTATCTACGAAGGGCTCATGTAGAGCCCTGTAGTACCTCCCGTGGAGCTCCGTCTCCTTCCATACGGTCTCCCGGTCGGAAATGCTAAGCACTGCTGGGTCCTGCCATTGCTCGTTGGCCAAGGATAGAGGGGTAAGCCCTTTATCACTAGAAATGACGTCATTATAGAATGGATCATCCGATCTCGCCAGGAAGTAATGACGGAGGCTGCACACTTCACGATTATGCATAGTGAGCGCGCTCAGAAAGCCACGCCCACCATGCTTTCGCGGCAAGTACAGCCTCATTACCGACGATCTCGGATGATGCATCCTATGGGACGTCATGGTAGTGCGGACTTTTCTATCCAGGGCGTTAAGTTCAGTCTGACTCCACCTGAGTATGCCAAAGGTATACATAAGGACAGGCATGACCCAACCGTTATATGCGTGTGTCTTATTCACACCGGACAAAAGGCTATTAAGCACTTTGGTCAAGCGTGCATAAAACACGTCGCAAACTGAATGTTTCACACCATCCTCATCGATACCGATGTTCTGTGACATACCCAGGTATCGGTATGTTTCAGCCTCGGAAAGGGTCCTTAAGTTAACGGGCATAGATAAATCTATGCCCTCAGAGTTAGCAACCCTTCCCCTCTCAACATGGAGGACCGCACACTTATCCGTCCCCAGCTCCATTCCAATGGAACTGCTAAACTCACAAGTGATTTTTAGCAATTCCACAAGATGGGAGCGACTGGAGGCGAATAACTTAAGGTCATCCATATAGAAAAGGTGGGTCACTTTTGTCCCTCCTTTCCGTAGCTGAAATCCTCTCCCGCATCCGTCCAGTAAGGTACTGAGAGGGTTCAGGGAGAGGCAGAACCAGATTGGACTCAGACAATCGCCCTGGAAGATACCCCTTCTTATCCTTATGTGGTTCTCCGCAGCCATCATCCGCTCACCCAGATGACAAAGGATCGTACTCCACTGCCCCATACACTGCTCGAGGAAGTCTCTCACTGTACAGTCTATCTTGTACAGCTCGAGGACTCTCTTTAGCCATGTATGGGGCACCGAGTCGAATGCCTTTCTGTAGTCTATCCAGGCGGCGGAGAAGTTCCGACGGTTGCGTTTCACCACTTTGCCAATGACCGCGTCAGTGAGGAGTGGTTCCTTAGTTCCACGACCACCGCCCCGACATCCATTTTGAGCGCGTGACAACACCTGATTTAGCTCCAGGTGACGAGTGATTCTCGCGCTCAAAATGGATGTCAGTGTCTTATATATGGTGGGTAGACACGTAATGGGGCGGTATTTGCTCGGGTCTGTGGTAACCTGGTCTTTAGGAACCAAATGAGTGATCCCAGTAGTGATGAGGCTAGGGAGCGACTTCTGGTTGAGAGCCTCTTGAAACTGACGGGCGAGCACAGCGTGACACACCATGAACCCATTCAGCCAGTAGTGATGCAGTCCGTCGAGTCCCGGACTTTTCCAGTTCGGGGCTCTACGGACCGCCTCAGCTACGTCATCCGGCGTTATGATGACGTAATACTCGCACACTGACTCGCCACAACTTCCGTCCAAGGGCCCTCGCTGTGGTTTACGGGCTCTGACCACAGGCCACGCCAAAATGCGACAGTGTTAGCCTGATCCGGTCCTGGGCCCGCTCCACATAACTCTGGTCGCTCCAATGATTTGTAGAGCCTCTTCTGATCACTCTGGAAGAAACGATTCTGGTTGAACCGCCTTGAACTCTCGGTAAATCGGCGAATCCGCTTCCCCCAAGCAGCAATCTTTTGCTTCAGGTCGTCTATGCGCTCCGTTAGTTTCTGCGTGATATCCGGCTGGGACAAACTGATATTTGTCCCAGCAAACGCCATTCTAACGGTGCGCACAACCCTCGGTCTATTATTACCCGACCTGAAGCTTATCAGTCTGCCGATAAGGGCCCTTGCATTTACGATACGGTCCTCAATTCTTTTTCTCCAGGCTGGGATGGCGCTACTTTGTTTAGTAGCGCGTCCAGCCATGGGAAGTTTGGCGCCAATAATACGGCAAGCTGCCACTGCGGCGCCAAAAAGAACTGAGTCCGTCTCGCAAAGGTCCCGGCTGGCTTCCAAATAGGTTACCAGCATTGAGTTAAGAGCCCTCACGACAGCCCGATTTCGCTTGCTTAGGGGTATGCGGGGGAAGTCGCGGTCGATTTTCGAGAGGCATGCTGCGCGTTTCCAAAATCGCCTCTTCCAATATACTCCTCATTTGCTCTAGTTCGTGGGAGACCATTTCATCATCGTCTGAATCACCCTCAACTGGAAGATCCATGGCGGCTTCTACGCGTGGCAGCTGGTCTGTCACCTGAGGAGCCTCATCCCCAGCCGTAGCCAACTCATTCGATGAGCGAATGACCTCACGTCGTAGTCGTTCGAGCTCGGCATCATCGAATATTTTCGAGCGCATGATGTACCGAACTCGGTCTGCCAGGTTTTGTTCCGTGACGGGAATAGACGGCTCCAGCTCAGCAAAAAAGCAATGCATCCGAGCCCGATACGCTATCCCCGCAGATTCTTCCCCTTTCGCCCTATAGTACGCCCGCAATGCGTTTGCGTTCATATCCCTTGTCCAACGCATGCGGCGCACTCCACCAGCGGCGGATGCCGCTTGCCGAGTCCGAGAGGACCCTGCCGACATCAAGCCGTCTGGTGGGGATGATGGATGCGGGGCGCTGTTAGGTGATCTTGCAGCTCCTCGCGCTCGGCTGGCGGCCCGCATGCTGCCGCGTCCAGCGCCAGCTCCAGACGCGCCCCGGCGACCCCCCAGGCAGCGGCCCTATACGTTTTCCAATCTTATCCATCATCCATTTTTGGGCGCCAATTAGCGGGAGACGCCCAGGCCCGGCACCGTTTCATTGTATCATTGTACGGCCGTAAGCACAAACGGGCCTTTGCACCCTGAGTACTGCCGAGGCACGGCGCTCACACCTCTTGGCAAGGCGCTGACTGACTGCACCGACGTAGCAGTTTTGTCACTTAACTGTTTCGTCAGCGGGCGATGGGGTCGTCACTTCCCTACGCCTTTTATTATTATTATATTATTATTGTTGGGGTATCTGTATAGTTTTCTCATCTGGTTGGTTTTTATAAATATAAATTAAAATGAAAAGATAAATATACATAAATATCAATAAAATAAAATAAAATAAATACAAAAAATATACAAATAAATAAAGATCCAACCATATTAAATAAAAAATAGTCTCCTAACTTTCTCTCTATGTTTTGATCTCCTAAAACGAGTTTGAGTTGATAAAATCAAGGCAAAGTTAGGGTAGGGTTGTCAATTATAATTTTGATAATAAAACTAGTGAAATTCCGCGGTTTTATATGCGCAAGCGTGAACGTAGTTAGAACATAATATAACCTTTATGTTTTACATAAATATCCTAAAAAACTTATTATTTTAATATATTACTAAGTACCTATAAAATTAACAAGTTTATTGCATTTTTATTTGAGTAATTTTTTATGCAATTTCTTTATCTACGTCTATTTTTAGGAACCTTTATTTAGTCTGAATCATACATAACACTATATTACTGATTTACTTACTTATACGTAGTTTTCTTTTTTGCAGTTACAAATATCTTGTGAGGTTGAAAAGTGCAGTAATGAAAAAATAATAAGAATAATAATAATTGACGTCAGCCACTTCTTTTCATAAAAATTTCAGATCATGGTCCATTAGGTTGCAGCTTCACCGAACCACAACTTATAATAATAATAATAACAGTAATAATATAATATTATTTTGTATTTATTTTATTTTATTGATATTTATGTATATTTATCCTTTCATTTTAATTTATAATTTTTATATATTTAAATATTTATATAACCAAACCAGATGAGAAAATTATACGGCTCCAACGATATTTAGCGACGAAAGCTTGGATTTATTTAGAAAGGTAAAAAAAAAACAGAAAGCAACGCCCCTTTTTTTTTTTTTTTTCCCTTTTTCTTTTTTTGTGTATTTCTAATTACTTTTTTTTATAAAAAAAAAATATCTATTTAGTTACTAACGCTATATTTATTATTTTAATAATTACCTACCCAGTAGGTAAATATTAAAATAATAGATGTAGCATTATAAACAGTAAATCTCCCTCAAACTCAATTTACTAATATTGTTCCTAAATAAGGAATAGCAGATAAAAGATTAGTAGGTAATAACTATTGCTCCTCAAAATTATATTTGACCTCAAGGTAAAACATATCCTAAAATTCAGTAGCTAAATAAAATAATAATACCTACTATTCAAGTATATTTTCAATATGTAAGTAAATGAAAATAACAAAAATGAAGCACCATTAGCATGTAAAGTTCGAATCCATAATTAATATTTCGACAAATATTATAACTTACACTATAAAATCTAATTCAATATTAGCAGTATAGTATATAGTTAAAAATAATCAAAATAGTCTTTTTTATTAATTAGATAATATATTAGAATACATAATTCTAATATAATGCAACTAATATACCGAATAAAGAAAATTAAAATACATTTATCATTGTACGCCGTGTCTATTTCCATAGAATAGTTCATTGACATCGAAAAAATAATACCACGTTCGTAGCAGTAGGTGGCGTCTTTTGGCGATTTCTTCCGCGATATATTGTAGCGAGCTTCGACAGACCAAACGCTCAAGGTCGTTCGCTGGAGGTAGCGCCTTAAGGCAAATCCTTCCTATAACGGTAAAGATTCATATCTAACATGGGACTTTCACTTAATGACAGAGAAAAAAAGATAATACAATAAATTGTGAGAATCTATACTAAGATCAGCCTGTATAACAGCACCAGCAAAATCACTAACTAATCGAAGTTATCTAAAACCTAAATTTTGATTCAAGAAAGCCGTGATATCTCAGGGGCTATGTACTACCTTCAAATTTCAAAAGAAATCGTAAGGAGGTATGCATGTAAGAGAAATAAGATTGAATGTAGATAAGGGTACGTTAAGTTTATGCTAAGTTAGTGCGCTTAATCATCTTCGGCTTCATTAGTACATAGTACATACTTACCATCAGGTGGTATAGTAATCAAGCATCCGGATTATAATTGTTAAAATAACTTCATCCACAATCACTAGAGCAATGCCGTGGATTAATTGCTCCAAAACCCATTTAGAAAAGAGACCATCGCAACACCATCATTAGTTTTACTTCTTAAAGACATAGATGTACTCACACACTCAACTCGCAAGCTTTGCACTGGCAGTAGCGGCCACTAAAACCGCGATCGCACTGACATTCCCCGCACACACAGTCGCCAGCACCGGAACACGCTATACTTCGCGTTGAATTCGGCTCTCGACACTGCGACATCAATATCGCCGAGGCCGATTCATCTTCGATAGAACAGTCGCATGACGGGCCCGACCTAAAATGATGTGAAAAGAAATTAACATTCGTATGTTTAAAATAATGAGATAACCATCAGTTTTATAGGTCATACGAAGAATAGTTTTTGCGCTGTAAAAAAGTAACGTTTCAGCCTATATACGTCCCACTGGTGGGCACAGGCCTCCCCTCATTTCACAGAGGGTTTTAGGACAAGGAAGTGTCCGCCGCGCTGCCCCAATGCGCGTTAGCGAACTTCACATGTCTTCGAAATATATTTTTTTTTCTTATTTCTCAGACATGCAGGTTTCCTCACGATGTTTTCCTCCACCGCCGATCACGTTGTAAATCAGCACTTAAAATTGCAATTAACAATTTCATTGGTGCCGGCGGGGACCGAACCCGGTTTGCTCGCATACTATGATATTAATAACGAGCGCTAACCATCTGAGCTACCACGGCTCTTTGCGCTGTGTCAAACCCTAATTCTAACCATACACAACCTAATTAATATTAAATATATTACATAAACCTGTCTTAAACACCAAAATATATATGTACATTACAAACCGGGGGAAACCTGTACCCAAAAAATCCAACATTGTAAAGAAACGCCAGAATTTTCGTAACATAATTAATAATCTTATCTTAAACAGAGAGTTGCATCACATTGTTTAAACTTTGATAAAGCATCCCACCTTAACGGAATATCGTGTCACATTTTGCCAAAGCCAAATAGTAAAGAATTTAAAAATAGCAAAATAAGCAACAATTATGATATAGTTATAGCTATATTCATATGCAAATATAACGACTTCCAGTGGCCGAGATGGTTTAACGATTCTTATGTGTCAACCACACGGTATTATGATAAGATTCAACAAATGATAATTAAATAGTGTATGTGTGACAGCCACGCTGTAGCTTATAATAGCTGCAGCACGAATGAGTTGACTCGACCGGGGATAGACCACGGTCGAAATGAATACCATCGTGAAATAACAGCATAACGCTGCTGTATTTTGTATAGTGAGTGATGATAACTGGAGACCCTTATTATTGGTAACTAGATTTTTCATCTTAATCCTCAAGGGTAACAGTGTATTTGCATTTTGATTCTTAATCGAGGATAAATATAGATGCCTATGGGCATCCACTTACCTTCAGGTGGACTGTGTACTCGTTTGTCAGCCTTATTCTATAAAAATTGGGTTATGGATTTATTTAAACCGCCACCACGTAGTACGATTTTGCACACCTCGAACGCGAAGCGGAAAGATTGGGCTTTATAGTTGATTTGTCATTGATCACCCTAAATTTCATAAAAAAATGTCCATGTACTAACATTTTACATACATTTTTTGACTTCTAACATATACAGAATATATAACACTGTACCTTCTGTTGTATTAGGCCTTGTACTAGATGTGTTTTGTAACTTACCATCCTTTATTACATTGACAAACTCCGCAGACGATGTGCGAATTGAACGGACACGTCAGGGATATGTCTTTCTGCAGGTCGCCTTGGCACTCACAACCGCATTGTATATCCACTTCCAGGGTCAGAGAGTCTTGTCCCAGTTGATTTTCGGATATTTTTATTATTTGGCTCATCTGTAGAGATACGTTTTGTTATTTTAAAATAAGATGATATGAATTCTTATTTCTTTTTTATTTAATAATAGGTATATAATATTAAAATTATATGTTAGAGAGCCACGTAGTTCAGATCGTTAGCGGTCGCTGTAAATTACACACCAGTACGCGAGCAAACCGGGTTCGATCCACACTGGCACCAATGAAATTTTCAATTGCAATTTTAGTGCTGATTTACCATGTGCTCGGAGGTGAAGGAAAACACCGTAAGGAAACCTGAATGTCTGAGAAATAAGAAAAAAAAATTCGAAGACATGTGAAGTTCGCCAACACGCATTGGGACAGCGCGACGAACACTTCCTTGCCCTACCCTCCCAGAAATGAACGAGGGCCTGTGCCCAGCTGTGGGACGTATATAGGCGGTAACTTTAACTTCATATAATATTAATCATGCATTTTATTTACACGGAGTGCTTTAGCTTCAGGAGTGGCTTAGATCAAGTGAAGGTCCCAATTTTAGGGTCACCGATATCTGTTTAGAAATAGAAGTTATTTCACTTGGTGGTTTCTTAGATTTTTACAATTAAGATTTTTTTGTTACCGGCTTTTAGAAAGGAATAGGCTCTTTTCTTGTAGGTAACTAAGGTAAGGTAACCTTAAAGTCCAGAAAAACCTCTGGCGACCGTTAATTCCACAAAAAATTCCGCGCAAATCGCACGGTAGTAGGCCGCTAACTATCGAGATGATGAGTATTGAATTTTGGTAAATTTCAGCAGTTGGAATTGATCCAAACAGTTCCTCTGAGCAGTTCCCGTGATATATGCGATTGAAGACGTACTGAGATGCATCAACTCTTAGCAAGGCCAATGGATCAAGCGGATCAGAAACAACTTGGTCGTCGACGATTTGGGCCGCGCACCATTAAATGCAGTCAAGTGGGAGGAACTCAACTGGGTTGCCCCGGTCCAGAGATGAGAATAGTATTCTATATGGGACCGAATATGTGCTATGTACAGCTGCAAGCGGTGGTCCGGCATGAAATACCGTCTCGATCTAATAAGATAAGTACACCAAGCTTTTTAGACGCCCGTTAAGCCTTCCCATCCAAGTGACTGCGGAACTGTAAATCTCTAGAAATTTCGACTCCAAGGATTTCGATGTTAAATAAGATAGCAAGAAAAGTGGCCTGAAATTGAAGGGATAGGATAGGTCATTTTTAGCGGTAAACGCACAAACATGTGTCTTTCTTATCTTATAATATAATATATATATATAATCGGGATCTCGGAAACGGTTCCAATGATTTTCACAAAATTTAGTGTCCATGGAGTTTCGGGGATAATAAATCGATCTAGGGGAAAATGTCTTTTTGTCCGTGTTTTAGGCAATGAAAAACTGCTACAATATCGTTAGAATAAGAAGGTAAATTTTAACAGATTGTTAATGATTATAAATAGCTTAATTGGTATAATGGAATCGTAAAAACCCGGTTCGAGTTCAGACCGACCGACCGACTTTTTTTAATTTTTTTTTCAAGTTCCTTTCTTTTTTTGAGAAAATCTATTTTTTCGAGCCCTTTTTTTAGTATTTGTTGGAGCGTCGAGCCTAAGGTTGCCGAAGTCTAATTCCCCGGTCGAACCTTAAAACCTATTACGCGAGATATTAATCAAAGTGGACTGTATCTACAAAATGCTTCTACGCTTATATAACGACGACTATAGCGCGCGGTACAATGCACTCGCTCTTCCCTAAAACGAACTATTATTTGCCAAATCGATGAAAGGAATCCTGCTTGATTAGGAGAAAAACAAATTGGAGCGGGTTAAAACACAATTATATCAAGCAGGCAATATTATTAGGAATATTCACTCACCGGGGTGTTTCTTCTATGCTGTTGGGCACTATAGCTGCGACTTCTGGAACTTCTTCTAGAACTATTTTTCACACGGGGTGAGGCGGGTTTCCTGGAGCTCGACTGCTTCCAGGCTAAAGCGGTTCTACTAGCGGTGTGGTTCCAACAACGAGCGCGGCGGGAAGAGGGTGCGCGTCGGTCGCGCGTGCCTTTTATACCTTCGGTTGCGATGATTACGTGATATTCTAGAATCATCTTCTTTCCCCTCCCACCTCACCACCCCGTTGTGTCGATAGGAGGGTATGAATGATATCGTTTTGGAAAGGGATAAGCGATTTGGCAGCCTACCGTCAAAATAAATAAATACGAATGGTTTTCCGTGCAACCATCTCCCCGCCCTTAAAGGATTTCCTTCAAAAAATAACTAAAACAACCAGAGCTAAGATCAAACTAACAAGATAACTAACTAACGCTAAGATTACCTAAATTCAACTACAATTTCTAATCTAGAAAGCTAATTTAAATTATGGAAGAGGCAGGGGGCACAAACGGACAACAGGACGCAGGTAAGACCCAACCGTGGTCTTAACGCGAGCTACCCTAATTACTCCGTCGGAACCGGGAAAGACCTCTTCGACAATTCCTAACGGCCAGTGGAGAGGCGGCGTATTCTCTTTGGTGAGCACAACTACAGTTCCTACAGCTAAAGGCTCAGTTGCTGTGTTCCATTTTTGCCGAGACTGCAAAGTATGCAAGTATTCCATCCTCCATCGTTTCCAAAACGATTGCACTAACCGGTCTAATAATTTGTGGCGTGCGGAAATGCTAAGTCTGTTCTCATCCATATCTACGGCGGGCAAATACTTTAAAGGCGTTAAATTTAAAAAATGTGCTGGAGTTAGAGCCAGCGGTTCCGAGGGGTCACTAGACAACGTACGACAAAGTGGGCGGCTATTCATTACGCATTCAATTTGAGCGAGCACCGTACTTAGCTCTTCGAAGGACAAAATTTGATCTCCTATTACTCGGTATAAGTGACTCTTTAGACTCTTAATATTAGTCTCCCAATTGCCCCCAAAATGACTCGCGGCTGGGACGTTCAGAGACCACTCAATGCGGTTCTCGGCTAGAATGTGAGCGAACTCCGAATTATAATACTTGCTAGCTAAAAGCTCATGTAGTTCTGATAAAATACGTTTTGCACCGACGTAGTTCGTACCGTTATCCGAATATAATTTACTTACAGGGCCACGGCGGGATAGAAATCTTATAAATGCACCCATAAAGTCTGCTGTGCTTAGATCACCAACGAGTTCTATATGCACCGCTCGAGTAGTTAGACATACGAAAATGCAGACGTAAGCCTTTGTGGATCTTATACCACGCCCGCGAGTGAGCGTGACCTTAAACGGACCAGCGAAATCAGACCCGGTGTGCGTAAAGGGCTTTACTGATTGTATTACTCTACAAGATCTAAGTTCCGCCATTTCCGGAAATGACGGCTTGGGGCGTGCCCGAAAGCAAGCTATACATCTGTGCACCCGATTGCATATTAAACTACGTGCAGAAAGAATCCAATAATTCTGACGCAAGATCGACATCAGCAAGTCGGGGCCAGCGTGCGAATTCAATTTATGATGGTAATCGACTAATAAATTCATGATATGGTCTTTGCGCGGTAAAACTATAGGGTGCCGTTGGTCGAAACTCAACTGCGAGTTGGACAAGCGTCCACCTACCCTTACAATCCCATCCTGTAAAAATGGCTTAAGGCGTTGAAAGGCGCGACTACAAGCTCTATTCGATTGTAATCATGTAATTTCTTCAGAGAAGTGTGCACGTTGAAGTTCACGTAATAATAGCGACTCGGCATAGTTGTAATCGGACGCTAAGACATACGAAAGTCGCGGTAAAAGCTTCACGAATCGACAAACGTAAATTACGCTACGCAATAATTTCGACCTAGAGGACAAGCGGTTCGCCAAAGCAATGATTGGAGAAACCTCGCTCGAAACGTTCGCCACTAGAGCGTGTCTCTTCTCTTCCGGCGGTTGTGACACTGACGAAGGTTCGAAATCGGTTATTGGCCATTGCGAGGGATCCAAGTGAACCCAAGAAGGTCCGTGGAACCAAAGCGGGTGGTCCATTATTTGCATCGGGGTGAGTCCACAGGATAGACAATCGGCAGGGTTTTCCGTACCGGACACGTGATAAAAGTTCCGCGTTTCTAACTCGTCTTGGATCTTGGCCACTCGGTTCGCGACAAACGTATCCCAACGGTGGGGTGAAGAATGAACCCAGCGTAAGGCGACGGTGGAGTCGGAAAAGGCAAATATCCTTTCTATGTGAACTCTATCCCTACATGCGCTGATAACTGCGGTAATAAGCTTGGTGAGTACTAATATTGCGCAAAGCTCTAAGCGCGCCAGAGAGACAACCTTACGGGGGGAGACTCTCGACTTAGAACTAATGAGGCTAATCGAATTTCTACCATTATTCTGAACGTGGAAATATACAACGCCCCCGTAAGCCTTCTCGCTGGCATCTGCAAACCCAACGACCGTTATGACGCTATTGCTATCGACGTGTATATGACGCGGTATTTTAATTTCTCTTAGTAAAGGAAGTTCCTCTCTAAAACGCTGCCCCAACCAAACAATGCTGTCAGGCGGCGAGTCATCCCAATCGCATTCAAATAACCAAAGTTGTTTAATCAAAAGCTTAGCGTATAATACCACCGGAGCTACGAAACCCATGACGTCCCATAATCTAGCAACGCATGACAGTATTGTGCGCTTTGTGCATTTCTCTACGGGCGGATTTACCTTAAGGCTAAACACGTCGGACTCTGGTGACCAACACAGACCGAGCACCTTGTGTGTATCAGAATCGTCGAATTCCTTTATCGCCGAAAGACGGTGTGATAGTGGGACTGTATCTAAAACCAGACGCGAATTACTAGTCCACTTCACAAGATTGAATTGATTGATTGATATTCACTCACCGGGGTGTTTCTACTATGCTGTTGGGCACTATAGCTGCGACTTCTGGAACTTCTTCTAGAACTATTTTTCACACGGGGTGAGGCGGGTTTCCTGGAGCTCGACTGCTTCCAGGCTAAAGCGGTTCACAGCGGTGTGGTTGCAACAACGAGCGCGGCGGGAAGAGGGTGCGCGTCGGTCGCGCGTGCCTTTTATACCTTCGCTTGCGATGATTACGTGATATTCTAGAATCATCTTCTTTCCCCTTCCACCCCACCACCCCGATGTGTCGATAGGAGGGTATGAATGATATCGTTTTGGAAAGGGATAAGCGATTTGGCAGCCTACCGTCAAAATAAATAAATACGAATGGTTTTCCGCGCAACCAGTATTTTTTAAAAACACGAAAACTTAAATTAAAATAATTGCACTTATGATTTTTATTCAAATAACCAGTTCCGTTTTTTCTGTTATGTCGCTAAGATCGAAAAATATTATTTATATTTCATCAGTATGTAATTAGTATCTAAATATAATTTCCAAAACACACGAATTAAAAAAAAATCGAGCAAAAAATACCGAGCAAAGCTCGGTCAACCAGGTACTGAATATATATATATATATATATATATATATATATATATATATATATATATATATACCTATATATATTATATATATATATATATATATATATATATATATATTATAAGAATTGCGTAGTTACAGGCACCATTTTATCAATTCTTGCAGCAGTCGAACCCATGTCATACTTCTATTTAACATTAGTACACATAAATACTAAGATAACTTGAAAATACTTTATTTTTTACCTCCCCATCTGTTCGCTAATACTTATACATTTTCCCAAACAGATTTTTTTTAAATTAAGTACCTCTTTGAAGGTAAAGGCAAAGCCTTCTAATAATTCACCTTTACTTGTGTGATAAAAAGAATACGTCGATAACAAACGATGTGTATGTATGTAACAAACCTTTTTGTACTCCGGACAAGAATCCAAACTGACATAGGCTTCATAATTTAGGGTCATGCCATATTCGACACCGGTGCAACGCGTCGCCTCCACGAATGTGCCTTTCACTCCGCAGTCCGTAAAGTATTTGACCTTCACCGGACCCGATTCGGAGTCATCTTCAAAATCAACGACGCTCACGATGTCTTCGTAACCCATTTTAACCAATTTCAATATGTTTGAACTGTCGCTTTCCAACTTAGCCACATACGTGTAGTCTTCTAACAGCCGGTGCAAACTATCATAGTGATATTTGACACTTTCTGTTACTGCGAAAATTACGTTCACCTAAAAATAGTCATCGTTACTAAAAGAAGTGAATGAAAAGCTGCAATAAGTAAATTATCAAAACAGAAAGAACACGACTTCAAATTATGTATATCTGAATGTCTTCATTAATTCCTTTCATGTGATACCGCACATTATTTTTAAGCCGCAAATTGACAGTTCATGTCTGCTATACCATTCATTTCATTTTGCGCTGAGATCATAATATAGCTTGTTACCCAATCAGCTTAGAGTAAAAACATACATATTACATTTTTAATAAAACGATTGTAATATTATTTGTATAAATTTGACGACTATCTTAGAAGCTAAGAACGGACATGGAAACAGCCATAAATAGATAGATAACTCTTTACTGGATTTGAACAAAGTTATTACAATAACGGAAAACTTATATACCAGATTATGACAAGGATCAATGACGTAATCTACCGGATACAGAAAGGTGCAAGAGGTACTCCTAAGATCATCCATGTGAATCAACTGGCGCGGACGAGGGGGCAGTCTTGCGAACCACAATTAATGCCTGGCATATGGCGACACTAGTTACCACCAGTACCTTCTAGTGCCTAGTAGCAGAACTAGGAGAGCCAAGATCCTTCTAGAAATTTCCATGGAAGAACTTTCTAGAACTATCGACACCTAGTCAGTCGGGACCGGTATGTACTCGAACATTCTAGATGTTTCTACAGTAGGAAGTTCTGGAAATATCTGAGGCCCTATATAAGACCGGTATATACCGCGACTCGAGTTAGTATTGAATTGACAATACGAGCATATACTTTGAAGCAACTGCGAACTAAAGTGATCAGTAGTACCTACAATTGTGTTTTGTCATTAGTGTGGTTTAGGGCGCCTTCAAATTAGAGACGTGAGAAAGCGCTGCGGTGCTGATACTAAAAAGAAGCGCTACAGTGGCGCGACTGTGTCGCAGTAGCCGCACGTTAGTAATGCTTCGGTAAATTGTAGTAATGTTTGTCAATTTTTGAAAAAATTGCAAATTTCAAAATACAAATAAATACATGCTGTATTTTTTCAGGTATTTAACATCAGGTTGTAGCCTTACAAGTTTACACTACTCTTATCAACGACGACTTTCAACCATTTGTGGGATTGTAAATGAAACATGTCAAATAATCTTCTAAATTCTAAATGCTAGTTATATCCCGAAACTAAGTCAAGATGACTGGTTAGGTGTCGCAAATGGATTCTTCAATAAATCCAACTTTCCTAATTGTTTGGGTGCCATAAATGGTAAACATATACTCTTCTTTGTTTTATAATTATAAACATTATTTTTCTATTGTTCTTTTAGCTGTGTGTGATTCTAATTATTGTCTCATCTATAGATGTTGGGTCTTACGGCAAAGCTGCGGATTTACAAATTTTCATAAATAGTGACATTTATAGAGATCTTCAGGAAAGAAGACTTGACATCCCAAATAGCGCATCGATTGATAATAATGAAGGTTAAATATAATTAAAAGCGTGTCACTTCCCTACGCAAAAATGACGTGCGTGTGTCACGATAGTGGCGCTGCAAATGCGCTTCTAGAAATTGTATTAAAATTGGTAATGGCGCGGCTAGCGCACCACAGTGGCGCTACTGCAGCGCTCATTTGCGCCTCTAATTTGAAGGCGCCCTTAAGTTCTAATTAGTGTTCTGTAATTAAAATGTCAACTTTGGTAATTCATTCGGCATTTTAATTCTCTCGAATCCCAAGCTCGTAACAATAAAGATTAAACGACCAAAAAACATCCAGACAAAAGAACCAATAATTTCTGACGTTTCACAAACTATCACTCTAACTAGTACGCAAACTCAGGACCTACATCTCAGTAATCAGGTACTGTGGTCACCTAGTCACATTGTTGATATAGTTCATGCAGAACCAACCGCAAACAAAGTTCAGCGATAGTTTGTTTTGTGCATTTACGTAAGACACGCGCTCTAATCTAGTTCCGCAAACATACACAATATTTACCTTGTACTTATCTAACATTCGGTACACTTGCGCTACGGACGGGTAATCGTAAATACCAGCTTCAGAATAGTAGCCATCTTCATTAAGATGGCAGCTTTCGTCATTCTTCAAAGTCGCTCCACCTTTAATCACAGTTAAAGCATGCAAACAACAAAAATGTTGACGTTTAATTGTTTCATATATCTTAAATAGAAAATTTGTCTTTAAAATAAGTATTTTAGAAATAATCTGGCAAACAGTTGTGTCAAGAATAAGGTGCCGGACTCGAATTTTCATTATTTACTGATCAAACTCTATCAAATCAAAAAATAATTACACTTACGTTATAAGTATATATCAATTTTACAAAAAAAAATTAATTCAAAAAAATTTTGAACAAGTTACAAACCACCAGACCAGGTTTATTATTTAACTAATAATAAAAAAGCATGTATTTCTATTTATTCCAGATGACCAAACTTTTTTGACTATTATAAATTATTAGAGATGAGCCGAACATGGATTTCACCGAATACGAATATTGGGCCGAAAGTTCGGTAAAACTTTTACCGAACCGAGTATTCGACCGAACATTATTCGGTAGGATCACTTCGGTCCCTAACCAATTTAGATTGAAACTTGTTACCGTGAAGCACGCGTGATTAGCGCCGGATGGATGGGACCTTGCCCATCGCTCCCCCGCCACACCTGATGTTATTGCATCATCAAGTACTGAGCAAATTGACGGTACATGCTTATGTTTTGACTATTTTTGTGTTATTCTTAGTGAAAATTGATGATTATAATATGATAAAAATAAGTGGCAAGAGATTTACCATATGGACTTATTATAGAGAAACTGAGGACCAAAATAAAGGGAAATGTAGGTACTAATGTAATATAATGTTTCTTTGTTTGATTCCAAAAACATTTTATCAAGTTTCCTATTTGCTATAATTGAAAATAAATCTACAGTGCGTCAAAACATAACGCTATACAAATAGATTTAGTCCATAAATAAAATATAAGTACTTTCAACATTAAAATTATGAAAGACATGACATTACTCAATTCGTACATTTCAATACAGTGGACACTTTGGGTACCACAGTAATGATTGATCGGTAATTTAGCCGAATATTCGGCCGAATACGAAATCCGAATACCGAATATAAAACGAATATTCGGCCCATCTGTATAAATTATTCGCTTGGACTATTAGAGTAAATTATAACTCATTGATAACCGTAATTTTTAGGTAAAGAATTCTCATAAAAATTTTTAAAAGTAAATCTATGTACTTAATACGATTATTTAGATTCGATTTTGTAATTTTTAACCTTAGGAGGCCTTTTCCTTGACTTGTTAATTATCTAAAAGTCAAATTCAATTTGGAAAATTATTATTTGCTTAAATCTGTTGGACCAAAAATATTTAATCTTTACAAAAAAGAACATAAAAACTCAGTAACGTTTTCAGACTTACATCATCAAAATTAACAACTGAATGATTCACAGAAATGGTAAAAAGAAAACGTTTTCCCGACAATTTTTTTAAACAATTTAGTACGATGGCATCGAAGACTGCATCCACGAGTCACATTATTTTTGTATTAAGAATAATGAAACAAGTCAGTTGTCATCCCTAAGGATGAAGATGAAATGTCTCTTTACTAAAAGGCTCTATAAAAAAATGTTTCCGGTTCTTGCAACACATTATACGCAAGGAAATAGCAATATGTTGATATTTTGCGCAAGCGTAGTCCTTGCGCGGTCGAGACAAATCATTTGTCAAAAACTCATAACACTAACACGTATAAATTTTTTGAATAAATTTAATTTTACGGAATCATGAACCATGAGTACGGGAGGACCATTCCTACTTGACCATAGTTACTGCAAAATTACATTTATTCAATGTTTATTTGTGTAAATTTATTTTAAGAAATGACTAAATTATTTATTTATTAATATTAAGTTTGTATAACATCATTTAAATCTGATTGTAATTGAATATTAGTTATATTCAATTACAATCACATTTAAATGATGTTAATTTAGATATTCTTAATTTGTACCAAGCTTTCCATCTCCAGCGGTGTGCATCAGGCCGTCAGTTAACAGTAAGACAATTTTTCGGCTCTGCGTCGACCAGCCGACTTTCGAATCGCATGCTATCGCCTGAACAAGAGCCTCTAATTGTGCTTCCGCATTGTCCAAATTCGCCGTAACTGAACTACTGTTTACATGTTCAATGAACTCGTTTACCTAAAATATGTACAAACCGATTGAAAATTCTTTTGTCTGTAGGAAAATGTCGCTGGCAGAAAATGAGGCGCTTTGAATTATAAAGTACAGTTGCAACATAAACGTTTAAATGTTGTACTCTGTAGTACAAATAAAATAATATAGTAAAAATATAATAGTAATCTAAATCTTGTACTTAATGACGAGCGAGCAACGGGACGCTCTATTCGGCTATTGTATACCACAAACGCACGCTATTGTGTGTTCTGAGTGAATCGGCGAAGAACACCATGGACCATGGACGACTGATATTTAATATATATACTGGTCATCAAAAAAATCGACCCACCCATTTTTTGTTTGAAATGTATCGATTGTTTCACTTAAAAGCTGTTTCACACATTTGTTTTTTATTTTGAGGGTCGGATATGATGTTTGACACCTTGTTTGTCGTGAATCTTATTGCACTTGAAGGTACTTTACAATTTTTTATACAGAAATACTGTTGAGTGCTGATTTCGTTGTTTTACGTCAGAACAAATTCGAACCGTTATTTCAGTCCGACACAGACTTTTGTAGGGATTTCTCGTTAATAATGTTTAGTTTATTTACTGAGTCTGTAGCTTTGATTACTTTGTCTAAAAATAATGGACAGTACTGAAGCTGAGGCGGCCCAAGTTGTGGCTTTGCTGCAACAAGGCTTAAGTCAACGTGTCGTGGCCAAGAGGTCAAATCTGAGCCGTTCTGCAGTGCGACGAGTTTACCAAAGGTTCTGGAGACTGGGCAGTATCGAAGAAAATCTGGATCTGGAAGACATAGGGTGACAATTCAAAGGGATGACCGATTTATAGTGTTATCAGCTCTACGAAATCGGCACCTATCTGGTGTTGATCTCCAGCGACGCTTACGTGATCGAGAAGATAGAAGATCGAGGTGTAGCTATAAGTGATAGTACTTTGAGAAGGAGACTTCGTAAGCAGAATTTAAGACCTCACGAGCCAACAACAAGACCACAATTGACCACAGCTCATCGACAAGCCAGACTTCAATTTGCGCGTAACCACATCAACTGGACTATAGGCCAATGGGAGTCGGTTCTTTTTAGTGATGAGAGTCAAATGACTTTATACGGTTCTGACAGATGCCGTAATATCATGCGAATACCAGGTGAACGTTATACCCAGTGTTGCATAAGAGAAACTGTCAGTTATGGTGGAGGCTCTGTAATGTTTTGGGCTGGGATATCTTTGACTGGACGCACTGAGCTGGTTTTCATACGAAGAGGTGCTTTAACTGCAGCACGCTACATCACAGAGATCTTAGAAGACCATGTGGTGCCATACGCCGGCTATATTGGAGAGACCTTTGAATTAATGCATGATAATGCACGACCACACGTAACGCGCATCATAACTGATTACCTTGAAGAGGTCGGCATTCGGGTTATGTCGTGGCCAGCAAGAAGCCCTGATCTCAACCCTATAGAGCACATGTGGGACACCCTAAAACAAATAATAGAGCCCGTAATCCAGTCCCTACAACATTAGGAAATCTTGAAACCACCATTAGGGAAGAATGGAACCGAATCCCTCAAATGGCCATCAAAATCTTGATAAGGTCATTAAAACGGCGAATGCAGGCTATGATTCGAGTAAGAGGAGGGAATACGCAATATTAAATTGCAAAAATTGTGTACATAAAATTAAATACATAAAAACTAGAGCGTATTGAAAATTAATAAAAATAATCGTGAAAAATTATAGATTTTGGTTTTTAAATGAAAATTACTTTCAAAAAATCGTTTTGATGTTGTAACTGTGATGAAATTGGTGTAAATAAATAAGTTAAATAAAACATTTCAGTACTTAAACATTTTGATTGGTTCTGCTTTAGAAAAACGTGATTTGCGGCAAAAACGTTGGTGGGCCGAATTTTTTGATGGCTAGTTATTTACTGTAGATATATCTACAATACTATAGAAACATTTATTTAATTAAACTTATGATGTTATTAATTATGTCGCCATAATCATTACAAGCCCACCCAAGCACACTGCTTAACATGGGACCCATATTAAATTTCAAAAGATGCGGCTCAGGGGAGCCAATAGCATCCATCGACTTCCTGCTTACCTCATAAGGTCGTCACTTCATCAATTGAGGAGTCACCCTACGCTGTACTTGTAGATACTGTACTTACGATACGAGCTGTCAGTCAAAAAGATTTCTTTTCATCCATTGTATGGAGTTTAGAAGTAAGGAGTACAGACTGTGTGTTAAAAAGTGTCCATAGAAAACATGTATAAATAAGGGTGGCGCCACTATAGCTACGGGCTAAATTTTAAAGAACGTGCCGAAAAATATTACTAGGATAGACGACTTTTTCGAGGTTATATTTACTAAATAAAATTATTTTGGATTTTAGAGCTACTGAGCAGTTAAGCAGCACACTTCAAACCGTCGACAACCGTAAGTTCATTTCATCCCAGTAGCTACTCCAGCGCTGTTGTGAAGAGTTTTTGAACTGTTATTTACTGCTTACAGATGGCTCCTTTTTCAACTATTCTACTATGGGAGTTGGTACTCCTTACTTCTACACTCCATAATCCATTGTTATTGGTTCAGAACTACATTTGTATTTTTTTTATAAAATTGAAGTGATATACAAACTTAGTCCACCCAATAGTATGTAGCTACTGCACCTGCAGCCCATAGACAACTTGCATTTAACTTTAAAAAAAGAAGTCTACAGAAGCGTTATTACCTATGAAGACAAAGGTAGAACGCTCCACCGCCTGTATTTATGCTGGTTGGCTATGCTCCTCAGACCGGAAAACAGCAGTGCAGATATTACTGAAGTGCAGACAGTGTTGTTTGGCAGTAGAAATATCTAAGAAGGTGCTAACTATGCAGAAGGACCTCTAGGCATAGTAAATATATTGCCAACTCGAAATCACTTTACCTTAATGATCTGTTAGGCTATATCAATTACCCTTGTTTTCTTCTTAAAATATCGTCGTTGCTAATTTTATCATACAGATAAACTCATATTATGGTCATATTCATAGCAACGTAAGATTTAATTAAAATACAATATTTAAACAAGTAGTAAATAGTAGGAAGTACATTCTTCATACGGCCAGAATTAAGGTAACTTTTAAGTACAACTTTTATCCTTATTTCACAAAATATTTGAATGATTCGGATAGTTATTAAACGGACAGAATGTCATAAATATAACCTTATTAGTTAAAGAAAGATGATGTCTGTAACTGTAAGTAGCCTCACAGGCTTGCTGTTCAACTGAACAAGGGTTGGTAAGTCTTCTGGGATCGACGCTAATATAGGGCATCAAAGGTTTCTCCGCAAAGCTACCAAAACCAAGTCTGTAAATAATCGGAAGAATTTAATAAGCACAAACTTCAAAGCAGAGAAAATTTACAAGTATAAAGAATAAATTAAATTAAACATAGTGAAAATACCTGAAATTGTCCGTTAGATTCTTTAAGAGTGTCGGCAAATCGTCACGTAAAGACACCAGTGTTTCTTTATCATCTTTCATGGACCACGTCAGATCCATCAAATAGTATAAATCTAAGGGATAATTTTTCGCAGGTCTGTAGGAAAATCGTATCTTCTGAGTTTCTCCTGAAAAAATATGTTTATACGTTACCTTTTCAATTCCAGTCAATTTGTGTTTTTTAAACTTTTCAATAACAACCATCAGGGATTATACTACTACCTCTGTGCGAGTGTTATTCTTCTACTACGTAAACAAACTTTTGAAAAGGCTTATGTCCACTAGTAAATTTAAAATAATTGTTAATATGCTGTGATATTATGTATTGACTACTACTAGTCCTAGTTTCAAACACAATTCTAAACTAGGACTAGTATCGTTGATATCCTTTGATCTTATAGTATAAGGGTACATCGGGCACGGTAATCCGTGCCCTTGCTCATGCAGAAGCGGCAATATAATAACTCCGGTGCAAAATTGATATCTTCCAACTTTTCAAAAGCTGTTACCATAATCAACATGTATATCATACAAAATACTTACGTGGTTTAAGAGAAAGCTTTATTCTTTGTGGTTGTATCTGAACAACTGCTTCGTTACTGCCCGGTTGCATATCTTGTAAAGAGTGATTCTCAGCTACTTCCCATATAGACTTCTCCGGTCTTTGGATCATGCCTTGGCTACATCCATTTGACACTAGGCTGTAGAAATATACAAAAATAATCTATAACAAGGGATTTTTATTTATTTTACTCTCGTTTATAAAATTTTAGACTCGTTTATAAAAAATGTATTGTTAACAAAAGTTTTTCTGCTGCGTAAAAATACCACATCATCCCGTGGGTGTTGTAAGAGGTGAGTGAGGGAAATGAAACAAAAAATGAGCAGTAGCATCTACCTGATAAGAGCACCTGAGCATACCTGAGAAATAAATAAAGAAAGGAAGTTGTAATAATTGCCACGTTTGGCACGAGGCCATCTATGGGGGAGGCCTACGTTCAGCTGTGAGCTTTTAATAGGCTGTAATTAATCAAATAACGAATGGTAAAATTAAAAAATTTGTACAACTGACTTCAACATAAGTAAAATGAGAACATCATCAATGTAGTAGAAGTTAATTAAATACGCATTATTAAGGATAACTCAAAAATTACCGGTCAGATTTTAACAAAATTCATATGGACCACACGAGAAGCGCTAGCTTTCAAATTAAAAAATATCATCAAAATAGAAGAGCCCTACGTTCAATATACTGAAGACAAGGAGGACAAATGAATTTTCTCCTATGTATGTATATTATTAATTAATGTAGGTTGAAAATACTGATTTGTTTCGTTCTTTACGTCCACAAGTACACTGACTGCAACACGAATTAGACGGCTCAACAGGGTGGTTGTACCATGTATAAAAAGTGTTATAAACAAGCCCGTGATCCACTTGATCAATTTCTAGTAAAGAGATCACTTCTGTCGCCTGGGAGAAATTGCCTCATAATCGGTAATTACTACCCATATGTTACATGAACATATAACAATAAGCTACTAGAAAAGCTCATTGCACAACGCACATTAAAAATCGTGTCACAGTTGGACATCAAAGTTAAGAACAATCTCTCCTTTGTTCAAAAGCGCATTTGATTATCGATTGAATGATAACATTAACCAACTCAGCGTGCGTTAAAATAAAAAGGCCTATACAAAAGTATTCCCGCGTCTTGTCCACGTCACGAGTCATGATCAATCACGAGACCGAGACGTCTTGATCACTTAGTAGGTTTGAAACTCGGTGCGCTAACGTGGGAATGCGTAAAGTTTGAATCACTTTGATGTTTGTAAACACTAAACTGTATACTCGTAGCTTGTGACAAATTTAGTATTATATTGCAAAGTAAGTTTACTTATACGAGAATGCTATCTACATATTGTGATGTTAGCTTTTTGGCTTTTACAGCTTCATTTGACTAATATAAATTAAAAAAATTTAAATACTAAAATAGTAGCTTAATGCCATTGTGTTTCGTATGGTGAGTGTAGGAAACCGGAGACCCTTTTTACTGGAATCGAGGCATTCAATCTTAGTCCTCACGGGTGACAACGCATCTGCATTTTGATTTGTAATCGAGGGTAGATGTAGATGTCTATGGGCCGCAGCAACCACTTACCATCGGTGGAAAAATGTCTATGGATCAAGATCCACTTACCATAAGGTGGACTGTGTGCTAGTTTGTCACCCTATCCTATAAAAAAGTGGTAATGATCATGCTCGGTGATTTTGTTCATGATCAATCGTCAGATTATCTTAGGGTAATGATGAGTTATCTAACAGCCGTCCGAGTAGAAATTTGAAATCGCCGACTCCGACTGCTGAACTCGTAACGAGAGTACTTCATTGTTTTATAACTAAAACAGAGAGGATTGCAAAATGACAACTATAATGAATTTATATAGCATCGTAATTAGTCCGTAGTCGTTTTTTCGGAATCACCAGGTGGGTTGATGATTACAATACCGGACATCTTGCAAATTTTGCACACTTCCCGTCGCCGGCGTGAGTCTTTCAAATCAAGTTATATGAGATGTAAGGTTTTATTATAATCTATCTAATCTCTGAATCGTTCTTTACGGAACCATCACATTGCACATATTATATATTTCCCGTCTAGTACTCTATCACCACTTACCGCTAAATATGAAAATTCACATTTTTATCTTGAAATAGTTAAATTTAACGTTTGTCCCACACTCAAAGAGCCTTGATAACGTTGAACCCATAACACTGTCAGATTTAGGTATGGTGTTATGGATGTTTTTTCATCATTATTGGCTTGTCAGAAGTCAGAGCCAAGTCTTTAGGTCAACAGATGCAACCGCGTTCAGGTGAGGCTAACATTTGGAGAACAAGATTGTATGTTACTCTCCTGCTTCCAAGTTATTCTCTTTTTTTCCTTTTTTTTATTGGAAATATACTCGTTTCGCGGGAGTAAGGACGAGTTATGTCACACTCGCACCGACTTAAACCCCGTTATGCTATCTATTAGGTACTGCTAATTGTAGTATGTGCAACTATCAATATCGAATGGGCTATAATCTATTGACTGTCCACATCATAAGTGACAATAACCTTATCGATAAAGGTAGGGACAAAAAAGCTCTTTAATTGTTGTCTTATTGTCTCCTTTCCTAGTTCACAATTTTGTTGAACGCAATGTCAACAATATTTAAAATGTTTAAATATTTTTTTCAATAGAATAAGGCTAACAAACGAGCACACAGTCCACCTTATGGTAAGTGGATGCTGTGATCCATAGACATCAATATTTATCACCGCTGAGGACTATGACGAAATGTCTCGTTTCCAGTAAAAATGAACTCCGGATCACCATACTCACCATACGAAACGTAGTAGCATTAAACTACTATTTTACGGTGGTATTCTGTGAGAGAGTGGTCCTTCATCGGTTGAGCCGACACATTCGTGCTAGAATCATAATATAGCTGCAGTGTAAGTCTACCACGTATAGTTTGGATGCAAAAATTGATTCTCAACCTTCTTATTTCGGTTTACCACCCTCGGCTACATCACCCATATTTAAAAATATCACGCATTTAAGAAAATAACATCAAGTCCTTTTATTTCTGAAAATAAAATAATATATAGAGACATATTCTTCGTATTTCAAAACAATGCTAATCTTTTGTCATAAACATAACTGACAAAATTTCCACACACGTATACGTGCCGGAAGTGATGCTTGAGTTCAAGTTAAAGGTTATCTCATGATACTTTTCACATAAAATTCTACTTTCATTTGAACTGTGGTGCAACATTGACATACTATGTGCTATTTTTGTAAAACGTGTTGAGTAAGTTACAGAGATATACTCCGATAACATAACGTTTCTAGTTGCGATACCATTCTTTCTGAGGATAAGAACTCACGGGGCAAAATTTACCCGCAACCGCACCGGATTTTATTTTTATTTTAAAATTCATGTGATCGCAATTTTGACCGGTTTTCCGCCGCCGTAGAGGCGAAAACGCCCCTAAACTAGGCGAGAAATGATAACAAGTAGCACGGTCTCAATGAGGGTATTTGCGGTGGGTCGATTGCTAGTAAAAGCCACGCCACCATGCGACTGCAGTTTACAAACGTATAGGTAGCGTGCGGGCACCCCAACCTGGATGATTCTACCAGTTGCCGCCAGTACAGCGGGAGTCGCAACAATCTCACACATCGCGGAAGTAAATCCCACCAAGAAATTTACTATATTATTAGGTATATGACACCTCTCTTTCTTATATACTATACGTGTCGCAGTCCCAGTACCGCTGCGGGCCCGGGAAACTATCGCTCGATGAAATCTTAACGTAAAAGCATTGATCATGAAATATAACCCATCAGCGTCGCATTAAATTACACTCGTCTTTCTATTTTTTGTCACTAGTATGTTAAATTAACCGTAAACCAGTAACGCTGTAATAAAAATATATTAATCACTAGCTTTTTAGCGCAGTTACGCTCGCGTGGACTTCGCTTTCATTAGTGTAGACGTGTGAGGAGGTTTGCTTTTGGGATTAAAATAGGAAGCCATAAATTAACTATTTTCTTTAAATGTTTGTGATTAACCATTTGGTGACGATGTAAGAATATTCACTACCCCATATCGTCCTGTGGTTGTCTTCAGAGACGACGGAGGAAAATTTAACATGGGATGGGCATGGGCATCCTCCTGAAAACGACTCAAAATAATGAAAATCTACGGTTGCGAACACGCCTGTCAATCGTAACAACTACGTCAAAATGCCTTATATGAGGCAATTAATGACGAGGCCTATGTTCAGCAGTGGATTTTTATAGGCTGTAATGGCTAAAGGGATCGATCTTTGTGAGCTGGTAATTTTTTCTGACTAGGTATTCGTCTAAGTACCAATATTAAACCTATTTCTATTGTTAAATAGCAGCGCTGGCACTGCTGTATCCTGGTATGCAGAATATACAGGGTTATTTCAGAATATTCAAAGAGTAACCAAATTTTAAACTTAAGTTCAAAGATATAAAAAATATAAAAATCTTTTTAAAAAAATGCTTATCAGAGTCCTAATTGACCAAACCTATTATACATTAAATGATTTCTTTAATGATAATTTTTTTAAATAACCAATAGTTTTAATTAAAACAATGTACATAATAAATTTGCACAGACATTAATTAATATATTTGAATATAATTATAATAATGTCTTAATATAATTATGTCTTAATTATATTTCCGACATGCTTGATGTTTTTATTTTTTCTCAAATTCTGTATCTATCTTTCATTCGTGGTAGAGCCATGCTGCAGTTATATTAGATGTATAGTTGTAGCACGAATGGGTCGGCTCGACCGGGGAAGGACCACGCTCTCACAGAATACCAGCGTCAAATAGTAGCTTAATGCTGCTGTATTTCGTATGGTGAGTGTAGAGAACCGGAGATCCTTTTTACTGGAAACGAGGCATTCCATCTTAGTTCTCACGGATGACAACGCATCTGCATTTTGGTTCGTAATCGAGGATAGATGTAGATGTCTATGGGCCACAGCAACCACTTACCATCAGGTGGACTGTGTGCTCGTTTGTCACCCTATCCTATAAAAAAATCTATATGTTTGTTTAACCCATTCATTGCCACAAACGCACCATTTGCGTTGATCGAGATTACTACGTCATGCCACCAACGCACCGTAAATGTTGAGTGACGTCTTGAGTTTTTTTTTGCATTCGCATTGCATACAGTTATTTTAGGTACCTATTTACTTTAATTGTTATGACCTTTTTTAATAATTTTTGTACTTCGTAATTTGTAATTTGTACTTTGTATGCCCGCAGGTTAGAACATAGCTAAACTTGATTATATAATTATGTATCTAACATCTATGTACTACCTATGATCCACGAAATAAATAAATGGAATTTAAATGAAAATAAATATATTTTTATGTGCGAGTGTGTATATGCACGTGTATGTGTTTGTACTTTTTTTTTACAATTATTTTTATTCTTAAAAATGTACACTTTGAGTGAATGGTTAATTTATTTATTTTTTTAATGGAATGTTAGCACCGATAACAGCGCGGGTGCAATATCGAATAAATACTATTCAGGGCTCCGCTGAAAATCAGCGCTGCTGCAGTACGTGTGGTAGCATATGCTGTGTTGGAATCCTTTTTGGCATCACATCACTCACTCTTGCCGAGACTTATTTTTAATTATGTTTACCATCTTGTAACTTGTGTGTTTTATGTTTTTATTTACTTTTAAATGTATATTTTGTGAGTGTGTTGATGCAAATAAAACTTATATCTATGTCTATGTCTAAAAAAGCGCTAGGAAGCGCTTGTAAGCAAAATTGTGATCGTAAGTGGTAAGCGCTGTCAAATGGTAAATAGCTATTTTCCTCTAGGACACTAAGTTAGTTTTAACCGGGAACCTAACCTAATTTAAATATATATTTGTAAAGTATTCATATTAAAAACATACCAATCATGAATTTTTAATAACATGTATAATATATTTATTCATGTCATTATATTACTTGAAACTAATTGCACAAAACAACTTATAAACTTTACTTCAAAACAAATAAAATAAATAAGCAAAATGGCGGATCGTGTCAGCGCTACTGAAGTTAGCAAACGTGTCCTGGCCGAAAACTGTATAGTTTCACCATTTTGCTTACAAGCGCTTCCTAGCGCTTTTTTCTGCCAAAAACAGCCATTGATATATGTTTCAACTTTATTAGTATTCATGTCGTAACCGAGTTAATAGCTGACCTTTCATCGTCGTTGCACCGCGGTGCCGCGGAATTGTAGTATGGGTCGGCGCACCATCGACAGTGGGCAGCGGCCGAGAGGCACGCTCCGCACTCTTGATGTTCGATGCATACCAGCTTGTTCAGAAGCAGCTGTTGGCCTGTATAGAAACGATTAATTTAAAATGGTTTATCAATGTAACAGCTATTCAGTATTGGAGTATTAAGAGGATACCTTAAAAATGAATCGTAGTTTTGGGGGTGCGGCTTATCCTGACTGAAAAGTGTAAAAACGAAAGTGATGCAATAACCATACCCAAATTATGAGATAGATATACCGACCACGCGTTCGGAAATAAGCTACGTAAGCGAAAAACAACATTTTTATTTTTTTAACAAAACTTTGTTAAGGATTAAAAAATGGTTTATGAGAACTTAGATATGATTATTTACTATGCCCTAAAAATAACTCCATGAACTTATTCGTAATAATATTGTGGTGTCATGAAGAAATGTAACTAATTAGAGCCTACTTTGCAATTTTTTTCTATCGAGAAATTAACATGTTATCGTGTTTTCCTTTTGTGAAATCCAAGGTCATATAGTAAAAAATCATATACCAAAATTAAATTTGTTTTTTTTTTTATTATTTATTTATTATTAATTATTAATCCATAAAACTTAAAGAAATATGTCAAATAGAAAAAACACGAAATTTTCGAGGTATCACCTTAAGCTTCCAAGTAAAGGTAGCATCTCCTTTTTTGATTGATTACCGTCCCACCAGACGTTAAGTAGTATGCCTATGGATAATAAAACCAAACCTCCCATTCTGTCGCATTCAACCTCCGCCCACATCATGCCTATTATGTATAATATTGTGTTGCAAAAAAATTTTGTAATCATGTTTGGAAATCAATTGTTACAGTCCTAGCCTAAGACAGAACCTAACCTAACCTAACCTAGATTTTCTTGACAAAAAACTACTATGGAATAACTTAATCCTTAAAAATAAACTTTTATTTATAACGATTAAAAATTTAATAAAACAATATTAAATAAATATTAGAAGTTATTCATTGGCCTACTTTAGGCGCACCTGCCTTTTGTCCAAATGTTTTATGATACTCTATGTCTAGTGTAGGTGTGAGAATAATATCCGGGTCATGGATCTTGCTCACTTCTATTATAGTAGTAGGCTTGTAGGTGTTTATTGCCATCACTTTTACGGCTGTCACGTACACATGAACAGAATGTATCGCCATTTGCTTTAATTTTGTGTAATAGCAGTCTATAGTCTAAGTTTTCATAGGCTAAAATTAAGCATTACGGTAAGAACTATTACATAATTATTATATACTAGCTGGCCCGGTAGACGTTATTCTGCCCTTTCTGGTTGGAGACGCGAGGGGCTTCATTTCCACACATACATACTTTTCTATAGATTCATTACATGTATAACTAAATGCTCTTAAGGACAAATAACACCATCAGCAGACATAATGACAACAAAATTAAAAACAAAAGAATAACATAACTCTTTTTTTTAATCTTCCTTAAGCGGATTAAAAGTGATATATTTGTCATACACTGTCATTTACTGTCTACGTACAAAATTTCATGGAAATCCGTCTGGCAGTTTTTCCGTGAATTAAAAACATACGATTTTTCTACAGATTTATTATATGTATAGATTATTAAAACTATTACTTTATTATGAGATATTCCTCTATCATATCAGACAACATTATACTTTTATATCAATAATCATAATGAAATACACATGAACATACGGAGACTACAATGGAAATAGCAATGGCTTCCATTTGACAAGTGGCAAGATCCTGACACACCTTTCTAGTCTCCTTCCCATAAAAATATGTACGCATGCTAACTTACTACTAACTTCAGTTAAGAGTTATCTTAATTTGCCCAACTTCAATATCAAAATCAAAATTATTATTAGTACTCAGTTTAGAACAAGGTTAAATAGATGCATGTGTCTATGTCAAACCTGACCTATAGTATTGTTTTTGAAATATAAAATATAATATAATATAAACACTCACGCCTGTCACCCAGAGGGGTAGGCAGAGACTACGGACTTCCATTTGACACGATCCTGACATACCTCTTTCACCTCCTTTACATCCATATATCTACGCATGTAGAGGGTAAACATGCTCGTCGGTTAAGGGTACTTCTAACGTGACCCATTTTCAAAATATCGCCAATTTGATCGATAAACTTTTTTCTAGGGCGTCCCTTCCCGACTCGGCCATTCACATCTGCCATATAAATTTGCTTTGTCACTCTTTCCTCATTCATTCTTTCTACATGACCAAACCACCGAAGCATTCCTTTCTTAATCCTGGTCACAACATCATCTTGCATACAACATTTATCTCTTATCACGCAATTTCTCACCCTGTCATTCAAATTCAACCCTAGTATATTCCTTAAAGACCGCATTTCTACAGCATTTATTCTACTTTCGTGCTTCTTCTGCCACACCCAGCTTTCACTACCATACATTAAAGTAGGGACTAACACAGCATTATGAATTGCCATACGTGTCTTTTTTGACACATTCTGGTTCTTCACAATAGAGTGTAGTGCCCCATTCACTCTATTCCCTGCATTTACTCGTCGTTCTATATCCCTATCATATCTACCATCCCTGCTAAATACACATCCCAAATACACAAACTCATCCACTTGCTCAATTAACTCTCCTTCTATTCTTATTTCATATACCGTTTTGCTTTCTTCTCTTTCAAAAACCATCACTTTCGTCTTACTTGCATTCACTTTCATTCCCCTTTCTTTTAATTCCCAGTTCATTAATGTAACCATCATTTGCAACTCAGCCGCCGATGACGCAAATATGACTTGATCATCGGCATATAGAAGGCATTTGACGGTTAACTCGCTCATTCTTAACCCACATTCTTCATCTTTCAAAGTTTGCAAACATCTGTCCATAAATAGGTTGAACAGCCAAGGGGAAGCTACACAGCCCTGTCTGACACCTTTTTGGATGCCAAACCAGTCCGAGTAGACCCCATTGATCCTGACACAAGCACTAGAGTTCCTATAAAGAGACCTTAATGCCTGTATCAAACCAGCGCTCAACCCATATGAGTTCAGTGTGTGCCATAACACATTCCTGTCCACTCTGTCATAAGCCTTTTCCAAGTCCATGAACGCACAAAAAACTTTCTGGTTTTTGGCCAAAAAACTTCTCCGCAATCATGCGCATGGAAAAGACTTGATCTGTACACCCCATTCCCTTTCTAAAACCCGCTTGCACATCCCAAATTTTTCCATCAGTTTCTTTCATAACTCTTTCAATTAACACCTTAGCATACAGTTTACCCACAATACTAAGCAAGCTGATACCACGGTAGTTTTTGCAGTCCTGCTGTGACCGTTTTCCTGTTTTTGAAAATAATACTAAACTGCAATAAAATTATTTATCATTTTTAAATGAGTATTTGTAATCAAAGTAGTTAGGAGAACGGTTTTACAAATAGCGACATCCACAATAAGGTATGTGACAGCAAACTGAGGCCCAAAAACTGGTAGCTTAGCATTGCGTCTCAGTCCACAAAACTGACACCACATTATATTAAGTATGTAGGTTGAAGCTGTAGCTGTTAATGGGCAACTGTCACTGATTGAAAGTAACATAAAATCTATTTAAATATGTCTTTTGGATATGTCGGTAGAAGAGTGCAACTCGTTCGTGTTTAAAGGTTTAGTGCTCCTCTTACGAAAAACCATCCACCAACCCATTTCGTCCTTTGGGAGGATGGATTCTATAATACTGCCACCACAATGCGCATTATAATATAGGAAAAGATTAATCCTATTCAAAATATTTATTTTACTTGACGACTATGTAGAATGCCCATCAAACCTAGCGAATGCAGTTTTTTTATATAGAATAAAGGTGACAAACGAGCACACAGTCCACCAGATGGTAAGTGGATACTGTGGCCCATAGGCATCTGCTTACATTTATCCTCGATTAAGAATCAAAATACAGACGCGTTGTCACCCCTGAGAAATAAGATGGAATGCATCGTTTCATCTGTGTGAGCGTGGTCCTTCCCCGGTCGAGCCGACCCATTCGCGCTACAACCAGAACATAACTTTTTTTTCATAGGATAAGGTGACAAACGAGCACACAGTCCACCTGATGGTAAGTGGTTGCTGTGGCCCATAGGTATCCACATCTATCCTCGATTACGAATCAAAATGCAGATGCGTTGTCACCCGTGAGGACTAAGATGGAATGCCTCGTTTCCAGTAAAAAGGGTCTCCGGTTCTCTACACTCACCATACGAAATACAGCAGCATTAAGCTACTATTTGACGCTGGTATTCCGTGAGATCGTGGTCCTTCCCCGGTCGAGCCGACCCATTCGTGCTACAACTATGCATCTAATATAACTGCAGCATGGCTATACTACGTCTAATTTACACATTAATGACATAAGACACTTTTAATACAATTCTTACTTGTGCTATAATTATATATTAATTTGTATAACATGTAATATTATATCAATTAAAAAAATTAAAATATTCATATAGCCCTACTCCCCGAGGGTGATAGTGAAACAGCTGCATTTCCTCGTTAGCTTAAATGGCTTCAGGATCAGCCTAACACTTTTTTGCCTTAGGCTGCTCCTGAAGTAATCCTGTTTTCACGAGGATAGTGGAGATATATATCATATTATTTTTTATTTATGTTTACTTTTTTATTTATTATAAATACCGTTTAAATTATGTTATGTAAAAAATTATTAATAAAGTTAAATAATTAGTTGCCTTGCAATTAAAATAGGTCTTATTGCTATATAATAAACTTGATACAACGAATTTACGAAATATAACGCCATATAAATATCTACAGTTTATTGAACTTAGATTCCAACATTAAGTTTAATCGCAAGTATTAATCATGGTAACGGTACCATTAGTATTCGAAAAGGGCAAGGAAGTTGGTCTACGACCAAACTAATATTCAAATACACGAATGTACTGAGCAGTACTGTTAATTATTTGCATTAATTCTAAAATGGTGCATGCGTTGTACGAAAATGAACGGATATCAATATTGGAACGTAGTTGAGTTAAAACGGATTGCGTTA